CAAAAGAAAAAAAATTAGTATGTTACCTAAAGCACTAATACAAAATATGAAATTTAAAAGGTACTTTCTATATTGGTTGGAAGGCAAACGGTGTAGAAAATTAAGGCGGTGACATTTTTGTAATTTCGGCAACGCGTATTATAGTTTTTACACCGAGTAAAAAGGGAACAGCTATAAAAAACACTTTCTACAGCCGGTGCCTAGTCACCAGCTGTAAAAAAAACAACTTTCTACAGCGGGTGAATAGTTACCCACTATAGAAAGTAGTTCAAACTTTTTTTCTTTACTCCGCGCGTCTCCTCCCTCATTTTCTCTTCTTTGCGCCTCAGAACTATCCTTCCTCCTCTCCCTTGACCGACGCCCCCTCCCCTTCCTCTTACCCTTCCTAAGCCCCGCCTCCTCGGCCCCACCCCCTCCCCCTTATCCCCCATCCCTCCTCTTCCCCTTTTGAGCCCCTTCCCTCATCCCCCGCCTCCCCCTTGCCCCCCGTCCCTCGTCTTCCCCTTCTGAGCCCCCCTTCCCTTCTCCCATCCCCCACCCCCTTGATCCCATCCTCCCCTTACTGATAAGGTAAAGATTGTAGCAGAAGCTGTTAGCAATTTTATCCCGTGGCCCAAGAGACTTGTGAATATAGTTCAACCTGTGGGATGCAATTTTATTATCTTACAGCTTTCCTAAAATGTTTTCTTACTAACTATTTCTTTCTTTTTTATTATATATAATAGCTTTTCTTGCTGAATCTCTTGAAACTTCCAGAACCCTCATTAACTCCACACCAACAAATGATCTTAATGGTGTATGATCCATCATTCAAATTTAAAGATTCAGAAATGGATCCTGAGGTTGTGGGTAAGAAAGACATGATAGTAACAATTAAACGGGAAGATTTTCTTAGACTTTTGTCAAATAGTTAGCTTATCACACCACATATTGAACTATTTATGATGTAAGTTTGTGTTTCTTTAATGAAATTAGCTTAATTATCAAGTATAGTGATCTAATACAATTGCATTACTGTAGGTACATTCATCATTTGTGCATTACATCAGGCAAAGGTGATAAGTTCGGATTCCTTTGCCCACATCACAAGACAAAGAAAGGGAATACTCTAAAGTTAAGGGCCCAGTATCTCCAGCAAAGAATATGTGAAGTCAAGAAAGATATTTTTATGGCTCCATACATGCACTCGTAAGGATCAGTTTGTAATTAATAGTTTTTTTGATGTAGATTTACTTTAACTCATCATATTTTGCAAGGACCATTGACAGTTGTTTGTTCTTTTAATGAAGAGAAACACTATTATCTTCTTATGTTCCCTCCATTACAAACTTGAGAAGGAAATGAAGAAGACGATAGACTTATAAGTATATTTGTGCAAAAATGTTTAATATAATTTACACTAAATATTTTAGTTACTAACTTGGTGATATTGAACGTAGAGCAATGAAAACATATCAAAATGTGGTCTTACAAAAGCACGGACATGAGCTCAAGGATCCTACATAGATCAAGCCAAAGGTAATGCTATACTTTATGAATATGTTCAATTACTAAGATTTTTTATTGATTTCTTATTATTTATTCTTATACAGAGCCATAAACAATCAGTGAAGACTAATTTATGCGGCTTATATGTGATGAGACATATGCTCAACATTATCACATTGGGTATGACTAAATTTACAAAAGAGGTAAATATATTTTTAAGAGTTTTATTTTATTATATTATTTGAGAGTACATAAGAAGTCTCTTTTACAAATTATATTTTAGATGTTTGACAATTTGGATCCATTCCCCGAAGCTGAAATTGAAGACATCCGTATACGTTAGGCAACTTAGTTTAGGGAGAATTTGTGAGTTTTGTAGAAAATTTCATACAATTTAAGAAGTTTGTTAGTTGTAGATAACTTTTAAAAACATTTGTTGATACAATGTTTCGGATAGTTTAATATATAGTTTTTAGATAGTTTATAGATAACTTTGAGTTTTAGATAGCTGTTAGTTTAATTTTATATTAAAAATTGTAAATAAATTGTGCTGTCTGATTTGGTTGTGGTAATTTTTGTGTACAGAGTAGGGTAAATTTAAAAATACGGACGTTTATTTTAAAAACAAAATACACTTTTTACGGCAGTTATTAGCATAACAAGTGTAGAAAATTACTATTCTACATCGATTAATGTAAAAATTGATGTAAAATAGCAAACTTTCTACAGTGGTTGTGTTCCAACCGACTGTAGAAAGTTCACTTTCTACAACAGTTGGAACACAATCGCTGTAGAAAGTGCTCCAGTTTTTAATTTTTTTAATTGTTGATCCATTTTCTATATCGGTTATGGTTAGCCAATGTAGAATATGTATTTTTTACAGCGGTCGTATAACCAATGTAGAAAGTAACTTTCTACATCTCCTGTAATAACATCACATATTTAACCGCTGTAAAATGTCATTTTTGTAGTAGTGATGTATGCATAATCCATCGTCTAATCAAAAAGTAATTAAGGGTGGGCTCCTGTCTTAGATTAGATGTGATTTGGATTCAAATGTTCTTCTTAGATTATGACCTCGAACCAATTTCAGTGCTCATCATATAGATGAATGCTAAGAACTTAGCTTTTTTAAATCGTTTAGATATAATGTTCATGGTTTAGATTTATAATTTTTCAACTAATATTTGTTAAATAAATTTTTTTTTTGAAAAACTAACAGTTAAGATATTGTCTTTATTTTATATTCTGTATCCATTAAAATAATTTAAAAAATAAAAGTAAAAAGCTATAAATTTATACGATCCATCTTATATTCGAACGGTTCATAGGTGATGAGTTCTCAATACTCATCATACACATGAGCACTGAAACTAGTTTCCACCTAAAGCCACTCACAATCTTCATCAATCAATAATTGTTCTTCAATCTAAATACATAGTATGATTAATGAATATTTATTTGAATTATTATATTTTTTTCCTCCTCTTGAACCTATTTATTACTGGTTTTCTTTTCCAATTTCTCAAGAGCTTAAGCCTCTCATTGGGGGCTAACGTTATTTTGCTATATGCCTTCATTTCCTTTATTAAAAATTCATTTTCTAAATTAAAAAAAACAACGAAAAGCAAGGGTCGACACTGAGCAGAACTTGTAGGTGAAACTCAGCTCTTTTTTTTTTCTTTTTTAAATAAATAAATATACATACATATGTGTGTTATTGACTTATCTTTTTGTATTTGTTGCATTGCTCTAGTGACAAAGTAAACAAGTAATTGCTTTGCATCGAAGAGGTGTGTTGACTGGTGGGTTCAATTTTTCTTAGGTTGGTTTAGCTTTTTTTCTCAATTAAAAATAATCATTTTTAATATTTATTCTAGCTTCTAAGTGAATGTTGATTTTAATTCTCTAACTGAATAAAAAAAAGGCGTGCCTTAATTTGACAATTTAATTCCAACACTCAGAACATAGAAAAAGGCATGCCTGCAAAACTTGGAACAAGTTTAAATACCAAAGAAAGCGGCGGCACAGCTCTAACAAGAAACCATACAGTGATGAAAACTGGAAACATCTAACAGAAAATATAATCATTGATTCTTATAATATATCGAGTTTTATTTTTAGTTCCTGTCATTGATCTTTATAGAATTAAAAATTATAAAAAAAATTAATATTATTGGGATTTGAAAAACAAACGTTACTCAATTTTTTTTAAAGCTATAAAGATTAAAAATATTAAAATAATACTACAAGAAATAAAAGTAAAATTCTATGAAACTATACGAAATGATGGTTATGTTTTTTAAACAATTAAATACAAAATGAAGGATGAATTACACACACCCCCAATAGCTACAACTTTTTCTTAAACTACTCAAGCAATTTAATATTTTATAACTCGCGCACATGTGAGTGTAAAGTTGAAACTCTAAACCTCATGCTTATCGCTATGATAACTTGTCATTGGCATGCATAATAGCAACAACTTTAGTCATAGAATAAAAAGTAAAATACATTAACCTCTCTTTTATTTTATCATAATTACATATACTTCTCTTTTATTTTTAAAACCTATATAAACATCCCTTGAAATCAAAATTTACATTACATGCACCTCCCATTTATTTTAAAAATTTTATTTTCATCTATCCAATCATTAATTAACTGTTTAATCATCTCCTCTTTAACATAAATATTGTTTACGAGTCATATTTAAGTTTGCAAATGATAATTATAAGATATAAGTTTAAAAAAATAATATTAAATACAAATAAAAGTATGTATCTAGTATATAAGTTTAAGAGTTATTTATATAATAATTTTTTAAATTTTAAATATACAAGACAAAAATAATATTTTAGGAATATATGAATAAAAATTTAATCAGTCAGAAAATTTCTTGGCAAAAAAAAAGAGTTAAGAATTTAATATAGCAATAGGTAAATTAATTAATATAATTAATATTCATTCTATTAATTTTAATATTTTTTTAAAATTTTGATATTTTGTAAAATGTTGATGAAATATAACCGTAATATTCTTTAAAATTGGAGGAGAGAGAATACATCAGATTATGAGGACAGATTAATAATTTTATTTTATTTTTACTATTTTAATTAATAATATAATATAATAAAGCATTTTAGAATCTGAAACAGAATATTCTTAACAATGTTAAGAAATGAACTAAAGTATAGATTTTGAAAACAAAAAGAAAATCTTAGTAATTTTGACAAACTTAAAGGGAGGTCATTGTATTTACTCTATAATATATAATTCAAGGAAATATTCAAATGTAACTGGAGTACCCTAAATGGATCATAATCTACATTGTAGTCTATGTTGATTTTTACAATGTCTCATGGCTCCACACATGCAGAATTTTTTTTTGGGGGGGGGGCGCCAAAAGAAAAAGAAAGGGAAAAAAAAATATTGGAGGATAAAATACTAATGAACAGAGGAACAGCATAATTTAATCCTATTGTGGTCCTCCAAAGATAATGTCACATCAGTTAGCTGCTTCAAAGATCTTTTGTCATTCCAGCACTCAAATCAAATGGACAATTTTGTTTCAGCCTTACAGGATAACACCTTTGAAAAAATGAGAAAAATGAAACAAAGCAAGCCAAACTTCTAAACAGTAAACACTGAAGAAATAGAATACATCTTTAGAGAATCTTATTCACAGGGACACAATCATTATTCCTTTGTACTAAAACAGGTTTTTGTTCCCTCTCTTATTTGCTTCTGCTCTGCTAACTCGGCTTTCAGCGCAGAGTACCGACCGGCCTTTTATACTTGTAAATCCTTGCCACCAGGAAGTAAGCTATCAAATTCAGTACACTAAGAACTGCCAATAACCAGAAGAAATAGTGGATATGACCATAGTTCAGATTGTCAGGTATCCATCCAGGACTGCCATTTTTGGTGCTGACATTCGTGACGATCGTTACCAGAAGTGAGCTCAGGTATTGTCCAAATGCAACAGTGAGCAATGAGAGAGCAGAACACAGGCTTCTCATGGCATCAGGTGCTTGTTCATAGAAGAACTCCAGCTGACCAATGAATGTGAAGACTTCTGCACAACCTATGATGAAATACTGGGGAACCTGCCAGAAGATTGACAAGGGAATCTGCTCTAGCTCGTAGTAATTGTGACGCCTCACAATTCGAAGTCTTATGAGCTCTAGAACTCCGGCTGAGAGCATGGAGAAGATGGATATGAAGAGGCCAATTCCCATTCTCTGAAGTTGAGTTAGGCCATTTTTGTGCCCGGTGAACTTTCGAGCAACTGGCACGATAATCTGATCATATACTGGGACCCAAAAGATTACACTAAGGGTGTCAAAGATTGAAAGAGATGCTGGTGGGATCTTGAAGGAGGAATTTCCAACATGAGTATCCATTGTTGCCCCTTGCAAAACAAATAATGTGCTCATCTGACCATAGACAGTAGCGAAGATGATACCAGTGGCCCATACAGGAAGCAATCTGATAATAGCTTTGAGCTCTTCCACTTGAGTTATAGTGCAAAGTCTCCATGGGTTTGCCGGGCTCTTCACGCTATCCGATTGCTCTGGCACAGCTGCTTTGTCAAAGAAGCTGAGGCATACAACAACAGTGAACATGTATTAGATAAGCCAAAATGCACATTGGATAGTTATATTCTGATTAGTATTATCACCAAAGCAAATGCAAATCAAATGGCATTCCTAAGATCAAATTTCAGTAACAGCATCTGAGTTGGTATTATCGCTGACTAGATCACCAAGTCCCCATGTTTTATAAATCAATTAGGACATTCCAAATTCCAACTGTTTCCAATTTGGAGTAAACAGTAAACATGAAATAGTCAAGTATTAGACCCAAGTCTCTTAGGTGTTTGTTTTCATATTATGGCATTGAATTGTAAGAAAAAAAAATCAACAAACAAAAAAACTGTATCAAAGTTTCTCCAATGGATGATAAAGTTCATTTTGATCGGCTTACCTTAATCCTTTTGAGTGGTCAAGCTTGCGGCTTCCTTGGATAACAGATTCAGTATCTGCTATCTCATATAAAAGAGACTCGTCTTCAGGCACTTTTACTTTGTACTTTCTTATGGATGCCACAATCACTTGACAGATTCGTGTGAGGGGGCTGCCTCCGGGCTTCTGGTTTCGATACAATCTGGTTCCTGAAAAGAAACTCACCACAGCTATGGCCATGGTCACAGCTGGAATGCCAAAACCCCATCCCCAACCCACATTATCTTGTATCCAGACCAGTAGAGAAGAAGCAATAAGAGCACCAATATTGATTGAGAAATAGAACCAATTGAAAAAAGAACTCTTGTGTTCCTTCTCAACCTCATCAGCATCATCAAACTGATCTGCTCCATATGATGAAACACAAGGCTTGATTCCACCAGTGCCAAGAGCTATAAGGTAGAGCGCTATGAAGCACACTGCACTCTGCCCATCAGTAGCATGACAATTGTCTTCTCCATGACAGGCCGGTTTTATGCCAGGAACCGATGCAGACAGTGTCAAGAGTGTCATTCCCTGTGTACATAGAGGACTCTATTTTTATAAGTTCTGTAAAGCAACAAGATCGTAGAATCACTATGATATAACATGTAAAATCTAAATCAAGTGACACAATTCATAAGCCATAAACCGTGCTACTCGCCTCATATTCCATGTGCGTAAATATGTCTAGTTTATTATTAACTTATGCGATCTCAAATCTATTATGAGCTTTATTACAGAAGCCAATAACTTGTTTTCTTCATCTCAAGCCATCTATATGTACATGGGATGCTTGAGTGATCAATATCAAAGGTGAAATTTTCAATTTCTCCTCAGCAACAAGCCAGTAAACAAGTTCAGTACTGGAGAAACCATACTCACAATAACATAGATAATGGAGAAAGTGGCAATAGTCCAATATCTCCCGAGATAGGCGTCAGCTAAAAATGCTCCAATCAACGGCGTGATGTAGCATGTCCCGCTCCAATTTGAGACGTTCTTGGAAGCTGTAGCACTATGCTCATGAAGCCTGTTCTTAAAATAAAGCACCAGGTTTGTGCTCATCCCATAGTATGCCAATCTCTCACAACATTCATTTCCTGTTAATTGAACCATAAAACTGTAAGGATCTCATAGAAACAAATATTACAACACTCCACTAACACCATACCAATGCCATAGTTACCTAAAATAAAGGGACACGCCTTCCAGGTCCCAGTTTTCTTCTTATTAGCCGGATTGCCACGGAAATCTACAGTTCCATCTTTTGTAAAAACTTCATCTTCTGCCATTGTAATTCAAAACCAGCTTGAACCAGGGAAATGCTCAAGATTAGGTACTCACTTGCAACTGTGTCGTCCAGGAGTCCAAAGGCTAAATAACAATAAACAAAGAAATTATGAACTGTTCGCCCATTGTTCTGAAAACTACAATGATATAACGAAAATCAAGTGACTATAACCAAAACCCACAAAATCCATTTCTGAGTCTCACGCTAAGTTGTGTATCGATTATTCACCTCCTTCAGGAGTTCATAATTCAAATTTAATTGTAAATCACTTTCACAACCCAAGACAATTTCTAACGAGATCTGAAACAAGCATCGTTCACAATCACATAAGCATATGAAGGGGAAAAAATCTCAGAGAATTTCTACTTGCATCCGGTGAAAGATATGGTTTTCAGGAGTGGACAAAAAAGAGAAAAGAACTAAACAGAAAATGGTCACAGAAGCAGAGTATATAATTAGAGAAATGCAATCTCGACCTGATGAATTGGCTATTCAGACCAGAATCCAGAATTCTCTGTAGAACGCGCAATTTGGGATGACGACGACGAACCCAGAAACCAAAATGGCACTGAACCCATGCGAGTGTTCTGTCACTTGCCGGGCCTTTATACTGGAAATATCCTGACTTCTTTCTCTCTCTCTGTTTTTTTTTCCCACCAAAAAAAGGAAAAACAGGCGCACTCACGGCATGAAAGTTCTGACTTTTCTTTGCGGGGATGAGAGATACAAAGAATCTTTTAAACTATACCTTGTTTGGATTTGGATAGAGATTCTTCAAAATAGAATCGCTTTCTGATCCCAACCGGCAACCAGGCTCCAGCTTGCAGCTTGCAGCTTGCGTAGGCTTTTCAGCCTTTAGATTCAGGAAGAAGAAAATTTGCTTTCTTGTTTGCTCGTATTTTCTTTACTGGGTAAAAAGAATTATTATTAATTTATCATTAACATTATTATTAATATATTAATAGCAATAACTATATTTACCATAATTTAATTTGACTTAATATTCAACACTATTCAATGTATAATGTAATATTTATACCAAAATCATATCAGGTCAGGTCATGTGAGTCATTTCTTAGATTTTTTTTTTTAAATTAAGAGATCATACTTATTTATTTATAGAATGTTATAATACTTTTTTTCTATAATGAATATCATATAATATCAGGATATGTTTGCATACCTATTGAAATTATATTGACTTTAAAAAAAAATTGGGATGGGATTATCATTTTTTTTTTGTTCATAGCATTGTTTACAATAAAAATTATAAATTTTTCTGCCAAAATAATTATAAATTTAGGTTGGGTAAACTTTCATAATTACACATCTAGTTTGGCCTTTTAAAACTCTCTCAAGAGTTAAGAGTCTTAAATTAGTCCTTCCATTTTAAATTATATAACAACTTTAGAGATATTTTGTTGTTTTAAAATATAAGACAATTTAAAAAAATAAGATATCTTTAATAATAATTTTCAATATTACTATTCAAATAGAGAAAAAGTTAAAATAACTATAGTGTAATGATTAAGTTTGTAAATTTAAATATATATTAAATTAAAAGTATTTTTGAAATTTTATATTTTTATTTTTAAAAAATATGTTTTTAAAGTATTATTATTAAATTTTATTGGTACATATAATTTTATTAGAAATACTAAGATAGATCAAGTGCATCATGTTATTTGTGATCTATCCAAAAAAAATATAATATTTAGATGATATTAAATAAAAATTGATTATCATATTAATGATAATAGAAAGAGAAAAAAAAGCAAGAAATTAAATATATATTCTGTTATAAAAATAGAATCAATTTAAGAAAAATATCATATAAGATTTTATTTAGATTACTTGAAGTATTTTAATTGAACAGACCACAAATGACATAATAAACTTGATCTATTTAAATATTTATTTCATTTTATTTCAAATTATCTTATAATTTGAAACAAAAAGAGTATTTTTTTTATGTTATAAATTAAACATGAATTTTAATTCAGCCCTCAACTATCTTAATTAATCATATCCTCCAACACTAAAAAAATTGTAATAAATTATATTTTTTCCACAAATAACTTCCTTAAAATTATTTTTATGTTTTAAAAGTGAAAACTAGATTTTGCATTCACTTCAAAAATAATAATGTTACTTTTTCGTTGATCTGTCAAATGCAAAAATAATATACAAAGCATGAAGTGTATGATCTGAACAATTCATGAATAACCAGGCCAAAAAAAAATATTCATGAGTGATAAAATTTAAAATAATAACTTGGCCCAAAAAACTTTAAAAGAATAATTTAAATTAATTTTTTTCAAAAAAAAAACGTAAACTTTCATTTTTTATTTATTAAAAAAAATCTCTGCAGGAGTAAATTCACAAAACGAGGTAACAAACAACTGCAATATCGCGCATTATTTTGGCCCATCGAATTGACTTCGGCTAAAGGAGGCGAGCCGAAATTTGACGGTTGACTTAAAACACTCGTATGATATTTTTAATTTTAATTAATTTTATAATAAAAGTCAAGTGGTAAGCAAATTAATTAATTTCTGATTTCACTCACCGTCAACGAGACATTTTCTTAAAAAAATAATATTTTTTTCTCCACTCATTTATATTGAAGATAAAGTTGAAAATATACAATATATTCAACAATAAACGTGCAAAATGTAAACAATAAACTGATGGTAAAAAAAAATGTAAACAATATATGAAAATGTATACATACTCTCATATAGGAAATAATTACTACATAATTATTTTTTCCTTGACTTAAATTCCAACTCATATTCAAAAGTATCATTTTTCCTTTCCCGGATGTGAATGTGAAAATGAGAAGGATGTTTAAATAAAAGGGTATGAAGGCGGATAGTTATCATTATTGGCATTCAAAGGCAAAATCATGCACGTCACAACATGTGAAGTTTAAGGTAAAAAAAAAAATTAAAGAGAATAAAATTTGAGGTAAAAAAAGAAAAATAATTTAAAAAAAGTGCAGAGAAAAGTACAGTGTTGCTTTTTGATAAAGTCATAAAGTGTGGGGTGATTACTATAGTCTATACTTTCTTTGGCAATATTATTTTCATCTAATCTATATTTTAAATAAATAAGCTTCCAATGTATTGTACAAAAAAATGAGGTATAAATTATAAATCGCATTTTTGTAGCAAAAATCGTGTGCCTTGTTATAAATTTTATATTTTAAATGGATATTAATTGGTATTGGATTCTTTAAAAATTGACTTATTTATTTTTTTGTTATGCACATGTGTTTTTTATTAAAAGCATGTTTGAGTATGAGTATTTTTTTTTAATAGAGATTCGAATCCCTTACATTTGGAAACTAATCTCTTACATTAGATCTAACCCCTTTTGATAAAAAAAAAAATTGATTTTAATAGTATATTCCCATATTATTATACTAATACACTAGAGAGAGCAACTGGCATTTTTTATATATATTAACCTTAATATTTAAATCCCAATATATTCAAAGCATAAAATTAATTCATTGATGAATAAACTTACACCTTGTGAGGTCTTAGTGATTATGTAATAATAAAATTTTTAATTAAAAATTATATAATTGGCATGAAAATGTTCTCTCCCTATTTTTAACACTATTGTTTTGAGATATTATAGGATTTGACTCCAGCAAAATACATTTCAATTCCAATCATCCATTCACAATTTACATAATTGAGCCACATTACCTATGAAAGTAATAAAGTCATATTATTTTTGAAGCCATGATATTTATTCATTAAGAGTTGTTAAGGGACAAACTTTTATCACATATAACTTATTGCATCCGACTCTTCTCAAATCCAAGTATAATGTTAGGTAGTCTGTTGATTGATGGATTTAAATTTAGATTTTAAATTTGAACTCACATTTTAAATTTATATATTTAAAATTCTTTATTTTGATAATTTAAAAAATTTCAAATAAAAAAGAAAGATGAATTGATAATCGAATCAAAAGAAAAATAAAAAATTAAAATAATGAGTTTATTTTTATGTTTTAATCCACAAGATATAACAAAAGATACGAGAATTATAAATATATAAATAATAAAAATATGAATAGAACAAAACTTATAAATTGATTAAAATTTTAAATGATTAGGGTGTGGAGAGAATTTAAAATTATAAAAAAATTATAATTTAAAATAAATTTAGATTTAAATCAAATTTAAATTTATAAATTTTTATGCCTTTAAATGAAGAATTTAATTTAAATTCAAATTTAAATTCTTGTTAATCCAATCATACTATTATATTAATTTCTCCCCCATTGTAATTTGCGTAGGATGGTTACTGTAATCCAAACGCCTCTTTGGTCAGTGCGGTCATTTACTTTGATTGAATGCCTCTCCCTTATTGTAATTTGCATCATTTAACCTCTTTTTTTTATAGTATTTTTTTTAAATTATTATAAGGCTTCATAATAAGATGGGCATGGGACCCATGATAAAAAATTGCGTGGCAAACATAGAATCAATATTAAAAATATTTTTTTTCGAATCATAATATAAAACATTTTTTAAAAGTCTTACTTAATATAAAATGTAAGGTGTTAAATAATTTTTATAATTATATAAATAAGTGTGGTTTAAGATTTGTAAATAATTTTACTTACTTATCTCCTTCACATTTCATGTATATTAAAATTTTTAATCTTTTACTTATTTTTATAATTGAACTCATTAAATTTTTTTCTATTCTTTTATATTATAATTAAAAATTAATATTTCGTGCATCGCACAGGTATAAAAGTAGAAGTGTTAAAAATAAGATTACCTTTGGCTTTCTCTATCCTTTGGTTAAGATCATCATGTGCTAACAATTAGAGAACAATAATTAATAGTCAATGACAAAGACTTGGGGAACATTTTAATTAAAAAAAATGAAGGTATTATAATACTTTCTATTATTATTAGCTTCCTATGATGAGTCCACAGTTTGGTTCAACAATGGAAGAATGGAAAGGAGGTGAGGCGAGCGAATGGGAGGTATTTTAATAAAGATGAGGAGAGAGAAAAGATTTTAACGTTTGATTCAGAAAATAAAAAAAGGAAAAATAGTAGTACCCAGACTATAACACTTTTGTTATTGTATTTGATTTTTATTTTCATTTTTTAAAAATATAATAATCACATAGCAATTATTTTTTATTTTTTAAGATAGCTTAACATTTTCACTTGTATAATGAAATAATATATGAAGCTATCTTCACTTGTATAATGAAATAAATATAATATATTATTTATAAAAAAAAATTGTTGAAATGATGTCACGTACTAACAAGCGGAATCAAAGACTCCTCAAATGTAGAGTTTCTTACTAATTATGCAACGCATTATATCATTGCATGGTTTAGGAGAACGTGATAATAAAAAAGACTTTTTTTTAAAACACACTTTTACTCTCTCCGTTAAAAAATTTAAGATATTTTTTAAGAGGTTGATTATTTAAAAATATAAAATATTTGTACTCTTTTAAAATATAATTATTACTTTTTTTTAAAAAATGCTCCCTATTAAATACATTACTTTATAACTTTTTAAGGTATAAATAAGGGTAAATATAAAAAGATAAAGTTAGTTTAAAAATAAGTAACTATTTTATTGGGGGTGAGATTTGATTAAAAATACCTTATATTTTTCAATGGAGAGAGTAACTCTCAATAATCAAAGACCAGAACCATAATTGCCATGGATTCATTCATACAGAGATTCCGATGGATAAATCAATTAATATATATAAGTAATATTTATACAAATTAAT